TCGCGTTCAACATCGGCGAGTATGCGTAAGAACAGAGGACGACTCATCCGAAAACGATTACTAAAATCCTCCGGTGTATAAACACACGGATTATTAAAGTAGTCGTTTAGAAGTGAATCGTGGGCGGCCGCTCGATCCCGGTTAAGACGTTGGCGTCGGGTCCGTCGTCGGGAGGATTCGGCTTCTTCTTGGCCATCTTCCCACCATTGAATACAATTCGTCGCGAAACAACGAAAAAATAAAGCTCTTCTTTCATCGTCGAAAGATGAACCCATTTTTAAATTATATTTTATAAATATTTATAATAAATAATAAATTTTTTTGAGAGAATATATAGTAATAAAGAGAGATTTGTTAGAGAGAGGTATGAGGAAGATGTATGACAATGGGGGATTTTATAGGTTTTTTTTTAAATTTAATTTTTTTTAATTGGGGGGGGGGGGGGTAACGGCATTATAGCCGTTGGGAAGAATAAACGGCCCTCACGCCGCGTCATTCGTTTGACGCAGGCGCCCTCACGCCCTTTTCACGCCGGCGGGGTGCGGTGTTTCACGCCCCCGGGGCGTTAAACGCCCCGTAACGCCGGTGGGCGTGAGGGGTATTACCAGTGCTCTTAATGGATTGTGAATGTTTGATTAGACGAAGAGAGAGGGTTAAACATCCATTCCATTGGCTGCATTTAAATTTGGGCTAATTAATTTTAATATTTATTATATTTATTTAAAATATTGAGTTTCTATTCTTTATTTTCAAAATATTTAATTATTTTATTTAATAAAAATATAAAATTTTTTAATATTTAATTTCAAAATAATTAAATATTTTATGTAATTAAAATACTGTTTTAATTTTCTTCTCTAATTTTATTTTCTAAATCTAAATTCATATAATTTCTAAATATTTAATTTAATATTTTTCATGCTATTTTTATTTACAATAAATAATAAAATAAAGTAAATTAGGGCACATAAATAAATATTTAAAAGAATGGATGGATGATATGTGGTGTAAGTATTTGTTTAAAAATAAGGTATTTAAAAATGGTAGCACATCACTTCGCGTGAATATGCTTGAAAAGGCATTCAGGCAGTATTATAAATAGAAAAATGCTAGGGATACACCAAAAGTGTAACCTATATGTACCCCACCCCCTCCTTGTCCACTAAAAAAGGTAAAAAAATTTTAAAAAAATAAGTAAATAAAAATCAAATAAAAATGTGTGGTAGAGAATGGAGTGGTGTACATTTGGGGTACACCTTTTGGTGTACCCTATCATTGCTCTTATGAATAATACACAGGAGTAGGTCATTC